GAAGTCTCTTCCATAACTTCCTACAAAACAGCAGGAGAAAACAATCTTTCCCGAAAAAGAAATTTCTAAACCCAGGTTTAAATAGTTTTAGTAATTGCATTGCTAATTTTCTTTTCTTTATTTATTTTGGTTTTTCAAGTGTGTGTGCAGACTCTGCAGCTTAATGACGTATTTTGAGCTAATAACTGACATTGTCAAGACTTTCTTTTTACCTCAAAGAGGATCAGAATAGTATGAGGATGTTGCTCCATATGAGCACTCTAAGTGGATTTGAAAAAAATGGTGTGCTGAGAACAAAAAACACCCCAAAACTTTTTACAAATCAAAGCTTTGCTCTTGTAAGTCTCTTCTTAGAAGAGAAGACATCTAGTCACCCTAAACATCTTTGCAAGGAGTTTTCATGTGTAGCCCATCCTGAGGGCTCACAGCAAGCTTTGTGTGCTTTTACTTCTAATGCAGCCTGCCAGGTAGATAGATAGGATAGGATAGGATAGGATAGGATAGGATAGGATGGAAATTTCTGTGAGAGTGCTCAGGTGTGGTGTTAGCTGACTGAGATGGGAATTTCCTGTTAGTGGATTGCACGCTAACCCAGCAAACTGACCTCTTTCTCTGCTCAATGGTGCCTTTTACTTTGCACATGGAACAAATGGAAAACAGTTTCAGAGCTGTTTCCGCTCTTCCAGCCGCTTTGCAATAGAGTATCCTCGACATCTATTAGCTCTCAAGTTTGCTGTCAACATCAAGACTTACTACCCACCTTCCCTGTGTGCTGCCTATAGCATGTAGGGCAGTGGTGCTATTTGAGTCTATGGCTCCTTCTGCATCCACCTGACATAAGAGTAACTAAACACGAGGCCAAAGGGGCCTGCGCTCTCCTTCTCTGTGCACAGGCACACATGTTCTCCCCACTGTGGAGCTTCTCAGTCACAGCAATGCAGTGGAGCCCCTCCCTCTGGCTTGCACTTCTTTATCTGTCACTGAATGTGTTTGAGAGTATGGGCTTGATAAGAACTAATTTTTCCTGAATGATTTTGTGTTTTTAAGAAGAGCTAATATTTGATAAAGAGAGAAAGAGAAGGTTAAAAAGCTCATAATTTTGGGGTTTTTTTGAATAATTTGTGTGTTCCTTTTGTCATATCTTGATGGTTAAGAGACGTCTTTATAAAAATGTCAATAAAATCCTCATCAAATTCGTAGCTCTCAAATTTTACTTCAAATTGTTTTTCTAATGCTAGTGACTCAGCAATGTTTGTAGTTCTCATAAGATCAGTACTAGATAATCTATTTTATTTAACATTTAGATTGTAGACAATCATGTTGCTTTTAATCCCCCCAAATAAAAATATTTTAAATTGACTATTAAATGTTTCTGAAATTATGTTATTTAAGGTATTGGATATTTACTGTAAGAATGGTAATAAGCTTTTGAAATGAGGCTGTTTGTAATTACAAGCTGAATACTTCCCTTTAAGAGCCCTCAACAAAAATGTACTAATTTTTTTGTAATCTGAACAGCTCCAGAATTTCTATGTTTTACAAAGAAGGTATCAGACCTGCCTTTGTAACTTTTTCTTTGACTGCTTCATGACCCTGTGGACTCTAGGCCTTCTACCTGCAGAACTTATTAATCCAGAACAAAGATTTAACTTTGTCTTAAACAAACAATAGGCATAGGAAAACTCTTAACAGCTGAAACATTTCTATCAATTTTGCTCCCCAGGGCAACGGCTCTGAGTTTTGAAACATCAAGTCAAGGGTATGTGGAGAAGTGTGATGCTGCCAACACATCTTCTTGGAGGATATAGCCAGAGCCAATGGAAAATAGCCCAGCAAAATTACATCAAAAACAACAGCTCAGTGTCCATACTAAATTAAATGAATTTGAAATTAAAAGACACAATGGTGTTCTTTAGTCTCCACTCAGTGGGCTATTTAGGAGGTCAGGAGATGTGTTTATATGAATAAATAATGCAAGGGAACTTCCAGCATTCATTATACAAGGAGACTCGTTGTTATGAGATTGCTTACATTTTTTCTATTGCCAGCAACATTAATCTATTTCTCAGCTGAGAACTGGGTTAAAAAAAGTGTTCTAATAACAGCAAATCAGATAACGGGTGGGTGTTAAGGAATATAGTTACTCTAGATAATAACCTAAGTCTGTTACGGAGATTTTTTTAGCACTGGCAGATTTCTACCATCCTCTTTATCACAATAGAAGACAAACAAAAATCTCTCTGTGCTAAACTATCAACAAGTAAAAAAATCATTCAGAAGCATACTAGATGTACAGGGACATATTTGTGTTGCTGGTCTATCTGGATGGCCTCCAAAAAAGCCAGTTGCTTGATGTAGGTCAGCCAGAGTACAGAGCTTTGCATGACAAAAGAAACCACAATACAGTCAAAAAGCAGGTGGGTATTTTTTTTGCTCTTTATTCTCCATTGGCCTCTTTTTATTTTTGAACTTACTTTACTGCTGTGATTTTTTTTTCTTCTTTGGATTTTAATTAAACTTTCCTTAGGCTTGCTAGCTTGACATTTTCTTCTTCTTTTTTTTCTCTCTAATTTTTTTTTTTAATTTAAAAATGAAGAAATCCTGTTTACCAGGCCAGTTTTCCCCAAATCCCACTGCTTTATCTATAATTTAAGTGTGTCATTAATGCTCAATATCCAAATAAAAATTCGTGAATTTTTATCAGTTGGGTATAACAAGCTTTCCAATTATTTTGAAGCTGATTATCACCCATTATGTAACACACACATGGTTTTCACAGCTGTGCAGTAATAGAAAAATCTTAGTTTGCATCTAAGCCTAACAGTATTTAGCTCTGAACCAGATCATATTGAAAGTGTTTGATGTTGGCTGCCAGGTGAGAACTGGGTCCCTACTAAAATTCAGAAGACATTTGCTGCTGCTTTCCTTGCAGCCAAAATTTCAGCTCGTCACAACTGCAAATATGAATTCCTTTTCTCTTTGCTTTTCCAATTTACCTCTCCCACAGAAATCAATCTTGCACTCATTCAACTTTATTAGATTTACTCTCAAATCATGCTGCAGCAACTGAGAACAGAATCAGACCCAGCAACACACTTTGCCTTCAAAATAATTAGCTGCATACTATACAGTCTCCCATTTCTGTCCAGCTATAAATGCTGTCTGGAGAGCCTATATACTGAATTTACACAAGTTGTGCAACAAAGTCCTTTAGTTTTATAACAAAGACTACCCTGATTAGAGAGAGTCTTATAAAGATGGAGCACCACACTTGGATAATTCACGTGCATAGAAACCACATACAGACCCAAAGTTACTGACCAGGCAGAGTAAGTTTTTCTGATCATCACACTGTGCAGTTTTTAAAATAAAGTGCTATTTGCTTATGGCTAAACCTTATATGTGGCTATTGCATGCACAGTTCAGGCTGCATTGTCAGAAACTGGAATACTTTCACATAAAATGATGGAGCCTAAGCACTAGGGCAATGACAGTTTTTGTTGGTTTAGTTTTTGGGTTTTTTGTCCATTTTATTTTGCGTTCCAATAGAATTTTTGTCCAAGAAAGAGCACGTGAGCACACAACAGTTTCCTTCCCTGTTCCCCACATCAAGCTGTTCACAGAAGAGGAATACTAAGGAGGAATTTTTTTAAAGCCATAGACAGCTTCTCCTTTTATTTCAGATTTTGTTTTGTGGTTTGTTTCTTTTTTTGTTTGTTTGTTTGTTTTACTTATATTTGATATTATGACAAAGCACTATAAGAAAAACTCTTTTTAAGTAGTATGAATATCAAATAGTATCTGTCAATCCCTGAATCATGCTTTTCAAAGTGCTTAAATCTACACTAAAAATAGAACAACATAAAAGTACTTCCAGTGTGGCTAAGAAAACACCTAGCAATTGTCTAAAAGTAACTGTGGTCAGATAATTAAATCCTACATTTATTCCACCACCCAATATTTACCCCAGGGCATAGAAAGGCGAGGGAAAGGGGAAAACAATAATGCATTGTTTTCAGAGGATATTGGGGTATTTGGCAACCAGATGAATGAAGGAAAATCCCATCAGTGCCTGACAGGTGTCTGTAAGAGCAAATAAATAATAGTTTTCTTACACTATGAAAATAATCAAATATGCAAAAGTCTCTTAAAATTTTATCTGACTTGGCAGCTTCTTTTCCATTTTGTGGATGTTTGGCACATGTCCAGAGAGAGACACCATAATAAAGAACAAATTGTAGAAAAGGGCTTGAGCAAAATCATGGAGAAATAAATATTTCTAGCAAATAAAAATCAGTGCACATCTCAAAGGTCTATTAGCTTCTCATGCAGATACTGAGATTTCTTGACTTTCACAACAGGAGCATAGTCATTTCCTCCCACACTGTCAGTTCTGGATTACTCCCACAAACATCCCCCAAACTGCAGTTGCCCCGCTTACTTCTCATTAAGAAGACCAAAATATTATAAGCTATACTTTTCTTGTTGTGACAATCAGGATGAACAAACCCCACACATTCATTATATTGGCCAATATCATTCAACTGCCATAAAAATACCTAAAGCTAATTAATTACATAAATAGACCATAAGGCCTGTTTGCCAGGACACCAGTTACATTTCTGCCTGGGTAAATCAAACCCATGACTACATGACAGTGTGCTGCAGCCAGCAACTCTACTTCTGCTTCTGCTAGGAGGGACTAGCAGAGAGCTTAGCCTGAATATGTTGGAGAGCTGCACCACTCTTCTCTCTTTCTAAAACCAGAAAGAACTTTTCCATTATTTAAAACATAAATATGAGCAAGGTGCTTATTTAATTGGTCTTAAAGATGTCCGGATGTAAACACAGTGGTGGTTTGTTTTTTCTTCCCTGTCAACCATGGTACATGCATTATTTGCAACTCCTCAAAGATAGAATCATACATAAAAATAAAACTAATTTATTTATTCATTAAAGTGAATAAATTGTTTTTAATACTTCCAGGTCTGATTTAAATATTAATTTTGTATAAATAAAGTTTATTCTGAAAACAATTATATTTCTGGTATCATGTCATTTTTTCTGCCTGAGTTCTTACTGAAATCATGTTGAAATTAATAAAGTTTTATTTATCGTTACAAGCTAAAACCAAATGAAAGAAGAGTTCTTAATCCTGAATATAGCATTTTAAAGCAAATACAATTTTTTTGAACATTAAAATACAAGGGGACTCTGTAATCCACAGCAAAATAATGTTTTGCTCTTACTTTTTTTGAAAATAACACTTTCTATAATACAAAATGACAAACCGTCTACAACACTGTCTTTTTATTCCCCTTTGGTTTGGAAGTCATCACTGTACATACCAGCAGGACTCTCTGCACTTCAGTGTCTATTGCCTCACTTGTCTTACTTGCCTGACATTTGCAAATGACGTCATTTGCAGGATTTAGAAAGGGGGAAAAGAAAAAAAATAAATGCTTGAAAAATAAAATCCACAACCACTTTGATACTTTTCCAGGATGTGTTAAAAATAGGGTTTGCTTTTATATTTATAAAAGGAATACAATCAAGTCATTCATAAAATAATAATTAAAAAACAAACCCAAGAAAACAAAAAACAAACTGGCTCTAGTTTCTACACACTCTGTAGTGACTACTGTGAAGCAACCCATACAGATTGGGTATATTCCGTGGTTTGGCAGGTATCTACCAAGTTACATGTTAGATGATCAGACTGTAGTGTTACCCCAAATTGGGGTCTTTGTAAGGGCAGGGAAGGAGCAGTGCACATTACGGGAGTAGAAATGAAACTGGAGCTCTCAGTGAGGGATGGGGTCCTTCTAAAAACAAATACTCTCCAAAAGAAGTGAGCTGCAGCAGGCATGACCTTCAGGAATCAGGCTAGGCAGGCCAACAAAATGGATGGTGCTTCTGATATCAACATAGCTTTGTCCAAGCATTCCCAAGAGAGGTTAAAAACAAACAAACAAAAAAACTAAAACTATACTAATGAAGCAAAAAAGTTTCCTATCTATACAGCAGTCTCTTCTTTTAAAAAAATGTAAATATACAAATTCTAATGACATATAAAACAAAGTCGAAAATGTGAATGGTAAGAGACATGGGTAAAACAGGAAGACTGATGCTACAAAGAAATTGCAAAAACATATGTACAAGACCCTGTTTTTCCTCGTATGTTATCGATTGTAATGCATGTTTAACAGCAGCAGTCGAGGATGTAGTTCCAGGCACCAGACTGCAGACTCTGCTCCTATTCAAGGGGGTTGACGGCCCCTTGCATCTCGGTCACCAGATGACACTGGATATACTGGTCTCCCGTGGCAGGAGGGGCAGTATGGCACTGTTTGTGTGAGCCTCTTCTGGGTTCTGCTCCCTGTTAGTTTTTGTCTGTGGCCGCTGCCCGTTTATAAGTGTCATAGGGATGTTGCAGTAGGTGTGCTGGTTACCTATTGAGGTAAGCGGCAGGGTGCCGGCAGGAGGTACATCGTATTCATAGCTTCGATAATAGTGTTTCTGGCGCATCTGTGAGTGATATGTGTTATGAAAGGTGGAGCGCAGGTCTGGATGGGCAGTGGCAAGAGCGGTAGAGGTGGCAGCAGCCATGGAAATCGCGGAGACTGTCTGCAGTTCCCCAAAGGGCCCCTGCTCACTGACATCTAAAACCTGCTCATTTGTGATGGGTTCAATCCTCTTAAAAGGCATTTCGTACTGTAAACGTTTCCAGAACTTGGAATTCAACTTGTTGCACTTTGGTCCGTGCCATTTAATGACAGTGAGGAGCTTGATGGTATGTTTTAGGGCCTCGACCTCCTGGTAGTTCATAACTCCTCGTAGTTCACTGCATTCAATCAGTATCACTTTGATTTCTCCCGTGACTAACATATTTCGAAGCCTTGTTTCCAGTTCAAAGATGCTCCAACCTCTTCTTACCACATAACTTGGAGTCATGACGATGATCAGTCGCTTGCTTTGGTCTACACATCTTGCCACATCTTCAATGTAGGCTACAAAACAAAACAACTGCTCAAAAACCAATCTAAGAAAACAGTCTGCTCTCACAGACTTACTAAAACAACAGAGGCAAATCCCTGCTCCCAGAAGTTCTCACTGAAAAACATCACTTGCAAATGTGCCAGGCTGGCTTGGAAGAACATGGTCCTGGGCAACCTGCTCTATAAGGCCCTGCTTGAGCAGGGAGGTTGAACAAGGTGACCTCCAGAGGCCCCTTCCAACCTAAAGCATTCTTTGATCCTGAGAAACATCTACTCCCACTTGTGCTATGGATTGTGTATCATTATCTGTATTGAAACATTTGTGTCCATCATGATTTTTTATTTTAAAAAGGCAAAGTCACCCAGATAGACTGCAGAGCAGCATCTATGTGCTTTAGGAGCTCAGTCTCAAACTCAAATGATACTCTGTGGGGTATGGTAGGCCCAGATTCTGCTTTTCCTTCCATGACCCCACCACATACAACAACAGTGTTGTCTCCTGCAAATTAGTATCTAGTTTGCTGTAGGTTTAAAAAATATCCACGAGACTGTTCCTCTTATTTTGGAAATATACATTAAGTATGTTGGCTTATCTTTGCCACTCTCTAAGACAAGGGAAAAAAGACGGCATTCTGAAGGAGTAGGTATAGAAAAGAGACTCAAACAATCGCTGCAATCACTGCATTGGCTGTTCAGAAAACACACAAGAATTAGGATATGACTTACTTCCTGTGGGAATCAAATCTCTGTCTGGGATGAACAACTTGTATCCATAATGCTTTTCAAGCATATCTGGCAGGATCTCAAGAGCAAATCTTTCTTCTTCTCCAGTTTCTTGATTCCACTGATCAGGATCCACTTTGGTATAAGATAGATATGCATCATAGTCTTTGTTGTCTAAGGAAAGAGACAAATTAAGTTAGTTTATTCATTATTTTTGCAGCTTTCCCAGATATTTCCCCAGGTGTTATTTCTGGGAAAGTTTTCCCAGAATAGGAAACTGTTTAGATAAAGAGGTAAGCTTTCACCCCATGTCCAGATATGAATCCATTCAGCTTTCTTGTTTCCTCCTGTAGAAGTAGTCCTTATTTACACAGATGCAAGGAAGGAGGGGTCCATATCCATACACAGAAGTCAGTTTGTGCACAAACATTTGTGTAAGAATCTGGATGAAGGAAATCCACTCAGCTGCAGAGTGACAGCTCATGAACACAAAAGTCACTGAAAAGAATTTGCATTCTTCTCTAGCTTTAAAGAGGGAAAGAAAATCATGGAGATACCTAAGATAATGTGCAATTGTCTCTGCTGCATAGTAAAAACATTTAAATCTTGCCAGACTTTTAGTATAAATTTAGGACCTGAAGCTGTGGTGTTCTAAGTGTATGTGTAACTTGCCTTGTAAAACTCTTTGGCTCTCCAGGTCTGAAATTATTGCCAAGCTTAAATCTTTGCAGCATCAACTCCAGATAATGCAGTTTAAGTCTCTTGAATTCTGTGCACTTACATTTGCAAATTTAATGTTGCATTAATGTACACTTCATAGTGTGTTACTTCACTTCAATATGAGGAATAACCATGCCTGTTTTTCAAATGTGCTTGGTGTGCCTAATTGAAAGCCTGAATCAAAAGAGTTGCCATTAATTTTCATTAGGAGGTCAATAATGCCAAGTGCTCTGGAACTAATTCAGTGGAATAAGAGGTCACGTTTTGACTTTTGTTGTGAAGAAAGCAGAGAAAAATCAATGACAAGAGTAATGAAATGTTAACATCCTTCGAACTCTCTTGACAACATTATGCACAGACTACCAAGAATATCAATTGCTTTTAAAAGAGATCTGATTAAATACTCTAAACACTGTGTGTCATAAGTAATGTTATATTCAGTAAATGTTGACTTCAGTTATTTATTGAACCACTCCTTTCTTCATTTTACACCTTTTTGTAGTCTGGTAGCATTATTTAGAAAAGCCAACTGTAGGTGAGTGCAAAAAGTCTAAAAATGGAATTAATGAAACAGTGCTAATCTTGAACCGTCCCCTCTCCCTTCTGAGCAACCATGTGTACTACGCCCATTAATCTTTGCAGATGACAAAACAAACTTGGTTGTACTGTTATAACTTTCAAACTTCCTGCACATCTTTTGTGTGATGTTGGACTTTTATATCCACAGAAAAAAACCCTAAAACAAATAAAAACAACAACAACAACAACAACAACATCAAAAACAGAAAAATAAGAAAAAGAGGAGAATTGCCTTCTATGATTCACACTTTCCATTGTTTTATTTTGGAATATTTGTGAAAACACGTTCTTTACTGGCAGACAAATGTCTTGTGCCTTTGACCATACCTTAAAATAACATTGATTGGATCAAGCATGAGAGATTACACAGCAGGTTTTTATTTCTACGTTAGAATAATGTTAACCCAGCAACAGAGTTAACACACAGTGAGATCAACAAATAAGTGGGGAAATTGCAAAAACACCACAAAATGATGCTGCTGCAACATCATTTTCTATTGTCACCTCAACAACGGTCATAACCATAGTACATGCTGGAAAGAAGTTGCTCTGTTGAAAGTCTTTGAGTAAAGATGAGAATGTTTAATTTTTCAAAGGGATAAATAATAAGAAATAATGCAGAATTCAAACTGTTTTAAAAGCTCAGAGTGTTTTCTGTTTAAATGGTTTCCACGTTATGACTGGGAGGGAAAAATATTTGTGCTATGCACTAATGCACTTATTTGAAGTACACAGTTTTCATATCAAGGAGGTTCTAGCATTTCCACTAACTACAGTTGCATTATCCTGTATCATAGGGATAGCTTTTCTCCCTAGATTTATTGGTATTTGAAGGGCAAAGAATGGTGAGGATCTAGGGTATGTCTACTCAGATGGGTTCAGACAACCATGAATTTATTCAAACCCCAATCCAGCAGGATGTGTAGTCTTGTTCAGGAAACTGTTAGATGCATTATTACAATGGTTTCCATGAGCTCTTATACTCTCCATCTGTTTTTTTAAACTTTCTTTGATGAAAAGTAAAACATTCAATTTACAGCAGAACTACCTTATGTGGTAGTTTTGTTATCTGATAGGCTGACATACTGGCAGAAGCAGACAATTTGCAAAATGTAAAATGTATGGGATACACAGAGGATGTTCACATATATTAGCCTGTTTTTGGCTGATTAAAATTATTCGTCACACATTGCCAACTCTGTGAAATATTTTAAGGACTACAGCAGGGTCTTCTTAGCTCAATGGTCCCAGCTACTCCTCTTTGTAATGGGAGGGACTGACGCTTACATTCTAAAGAACATTTCTGATCTTAATTTGTGTTTTTCAGTGTGCTGTCCCAATGGACTGAAAAGTAGAAATAGGAGTCTGCAGACATCCAGGTCTCACTGCTGGTTATAATCTGGGAGCTGGAATTCACATCTTGCCAATCTTCCTGGCCATGTCACATGAAAGCAGGAGGCTTTGACTTTACTCTCAAACCCTTTGCTCTTCAGCTGCTTTCCTTCTCAAGCAATGCATCCAGGTGGCCCCAGACTCCCAACAAGCAAGCAGCCCATCACAACTTCATGTTTTCTTGAACATTAACTCAAACAAGTACTTTACCCATGAAAATATGTCAACATATCTGCCTTTTCCAAGAAAAAAACATGTCACCAGAAAACTTCTAATCTGATCCAAATCACATATCAAGGCATAAAGGACTTGATATTATTACTCATACTATTATGTAGAGTGATATTTACAGATTTGCCTCTGCGATATGTTCAGATACTGGTTGGATCTAATATTCAGTGTCAGAATTACAGTACAAAAATCCAAATTCAAAACAAGGCTGGTGATAAACTAAGATTTTCTTTAAAATGACAATCTCCTTATTTCTGTTCATCAGCAAACAATTAAGTCTTCTATCCAAGAATCCTTGGAATGAAAATGTGATTGACTGTTGCTTGCACTTGTGCTTTAGATATAGATGATACTATTTCAAAGATGTTTTTGTTAGGCTTATGTGCATCTGCAATAAACTGAAATATAGTTACTCACTTTTTCTTTCAACACTTATTAAGAAAAATACATTTTAATAACCAAAGGCAGGGAAATTGATCATTTAATCTGAAACTTGCTTTCTTTCTCATGAAGATTGAAAGAAATTACCTATTATCTGAATATATTTTTTTATCTGAAATGACTTAGCCATTTCAGGGTTGTTTTTTTCAGAAACATATCAAAGTAAGTTAATCTTGGACTGCTTCCAGGTATGCTGCAGAGCTGATTTATGTAATGGCTATTCTTTAATTTAGTGAACACAGCTCAATATAACATACCATATCATGCAACAGTAATACTTTGAAACATTTTGGTGTATTAAGTTTTCTCTTCCCGTTCTTTGTTAACTTGACAAGTAATTCTCTTCAGTTAGATGGTTTGTAGCTGCTTTCTTAGGCCTACAGGTAGTAACCAGCTAGGACAGAGCAATTCAACTCAACAGCTACCATTTCTGTGAGGTTTTGTTTTACCCATTAATTGAAAATATTGAAATAAATCCCAAAGTACACCTTGCATGACCAAATTCAACCAGACTCTATGTAAAAAAGTCCTGTGTTATTGTACTGCAGACAACCATGACAGTACATGGAAGCTCTGGATTAGTTCATCACAATAAGGTAATATACAACCTGTGCTCAAGCTGTGATGCATTCAGTCTACAAATGTTTCAGTCAGCCCAAAAATACTGGTACTGCAAGAGCTGGGGCAAAACAGACTGTGAGGTACAAACTTTGCCATATAATTTTACCCATTCTATGGAATTAAAAGCAAGGACTCAGTAATGATTACGGAGCTGCACTCAGCCACAGGTCTGAAAAAATTGTTTGGATAGATCTTAGGGGTAAACACCGAGGGTCAAATCTCAGCTTCATTAGTAACACACAGAACCATTACTTCATTTCATGGACAAGGATTTTAGCCAAAGCACTTGTTTCATCATTGCAACATGCATTCTTCAATGCTGTCCGTTGCTTTTGGTACTCATCCAAATGCAGAATACATTATCATACTCCCTGTAACTTTCTATAGAGTTAATCCAGCAGAAGTGATATAAATTTTTAGGGGAAGAAGTTGCAAATGCTGCTCATTATTCCAAGGATGCGCTCAGCAGCAGTGACTTAAAGGCTCAATGTAAGCATAAAACAAAACCTGGACTCTGTATGCATCTACTTTCTCACATGCAAATAGGATCTTTGGGTAAGTAAATTGCTATCAGACATCTAAGAACTCATCTGTATGCATGCTCTCTTAACAGCTACACAAGAAGAAATTATATACTGGTGCCTACAGAAAGATAGATAAAACTTCCTCTTCTACAGGGACCACCAAACAGATTCAACTTTGAATTTGCATTATAGATGTACATGTTTTCTAATGATTTCCATGTTGCACTGGCAAGAAGCCAGCAGTCTGGGCCTTTGAGGGTTTATTAAACCTTAAACATTGCAGATATTTCTGCTAATGGGACACAGAAAAATTATATATATACATAAAAAATGAAAAATAATAAAAAACACTTCCTAGAGTCAGTTTTTTTCTTACCAGCCATGTTCAAGCTGACGACAAATTCTGACTTTTAGCTGGCATGATACACTTTAGCACAAGACACATTAATAGAGCAAAACAAAGAGAAATCACACAACATCATATTTCATAGTGAATAATATTTCAATGAAGCTCTAAGACCCAGATGGCGGGGTCAGCCCATGTCTCTGTGCATCCTGAAATCCTCCAGAGCACTTAGCAGTGCCTTCAGAAACATTCAGTGCAGTGAATGCAGCTGACCCTGTATGGGCTGCTCCGCAGCTTAACGTACCCAGCAACATGTTTGG